CAAAACTCGCGTTTGAATCATCAGTGGCAACGAAAAACACAGTGGCCTAGTGTGAGGGGAAGCCCCGGCTTAGCGTGAGCTGAGGCGGCAGGCTTGAGAACGGCGCGGCCGGCGGATCCGACAAAAGAGCGACAACCACATGTGACGACTCCGGGCTGGACTCTGCTATCGGATATCGTCCTCTTTTGGAAGACCAAACAAAGTAGTTTCGCTTTCACAATGAAACACAGCGCCTTCACGAAATGCCGACAGAGGCAACAATACTACAGCGAGAATAAAAGTTACGCCTTCTTTCTTTGTGTGAACATTTGGGCAGCGTTATGCAAATCTTCCCACATAGTGATGTAGACATGTGGGGGCATGTTAGAACGAGCCGTTTTAGGTAGGTGTGGCTGACTCTTAACTTTTATAAAGAATATCTCTTTGGATTTGAGACTTTAGTCTTTGCAACTTTACAGATCTTCTTTATGCACCAAGAGCTTGTAACACTCCAAAGAGATAGGAAAAATTGAAATCGCATCATATGACCCCTTTAAGTACTTTTAACTGAAGGTCAATCTAATCAGATGGTATTGGCTACAAAATGTGTATCCACACAGATCATATGCAAATAAATGACTAATATATTTAATATGAACAAATCAAATGTTATAGCTAAATAAAGCTATTTGTTCTTTGTTTCAGGTCTGTTCACAATGAGCTGGAGAAACACAGGTAACCAAGTCTTATTTTGCATTCTGTCCTTCAATTCAGCAATATTGCAATGGTGCTGTTGTTCAAAATAATAGTACAGTTTTTCAGTAATTCAGTCCCATCGGTGTGGGAGTTGCTATTGAGTAACTTAAATTTCAGACCGATTTTGCCAAATTAAAAAGCATCAAGCTTTAAAATGCTATGCTCACATACTCTGGTCTGTAATGCATGAACACTGATAACATACAAATAGTGAAAAGTCCCAGTGCCATTGGAACGCTGTTTAGCCAATCAAATTTGAGTACTGGAACTAACGGTTGTATAATACATTATATTACAAATTTAAGCTGAGGTGAAATGAAATGTGGTTTTGCATACGTTTAAATGTTATGTTGCTGCATGTGTTTGTGGTTGTAGGAGAGCTCAGTTAAAACATTGTTTGGAGCAGCTGAAGCAGCAGGTTCCTCTGTCCTCAGATTCAGCTAGAAACACAACCCTCAGTCTGCTCCGACAAGCACAGCTGCACATCAAGGTGAATCACCTTGACCATACAAAAAAATATTAAATATAAATTCTTGTTTTTAGGCTATAGTATAAAGACAACCATTTATTTTTAGGTTTGTCACCCTAAAAATGTTTTAACACCTTTACTGCATAATTTGTGTATTTTGCCCTTTGAATTTCTATGCTTTTAGGCAAAAAAAGAAAAGAAAGTTGAGACATCAAATTCATTTCCACATTTTAATACTTAAATGATGATTGATAGTGAAATAAATGTTAATATAATTTAGGGACTTTTAGTGGATCTGATTAAAAAGTGCATACAGTGGGCATTCTGGTGGAACATCCCAAAGCATCAACCCAGTGAATGGCAGCTTTATGAAAATAATGATGAGTATAGGGAACAGACATAAAGTTCAATGAAACTGTTGTATTCCCAACATGCATTTAATGCTTTAATGCTTATTAAAGGGTTAGTTCACCCAAAAAAGAAAATTCTGTCATTAATTACTCGCCCTGTCCCTCACGTCATTTCAAACCCGTAAGACCTTCGTTCATCTTCGGAACACAAATAAAGATATTTTTGATGGAATCTGAAAGCTGTCTGACCCTCCCATAGACAGCAATGCAACTGAAATGTTTCCAAGTCCAGAAACATGGCAAGGAGATCGGTAAAGTAGTCTGTGACATCAGGGGTTCAACCGTAATTTTACGAAGCTACAAGAACTACGGTTGAACCACTGATGTCACATGGACTATTTTACAGATCTCCTTGCTATGTTTCTGGACTTGGGAACATTTCAGTTGCATTGCTGTCTATGGGAGGGTCAGACAGCTCTCAGATTCCATCAAAAATATCTTAATTTGTGTTCCGAAGATGAACGAAGGTCTTACGGGTTTGAAACGACATGAGGGGGAGTAATTAATGACAGAATTTTCATTTTTGGGTGAACTATCCCTTTAATGTAAGGTAAAGTAGCGTCTTTGTGATTTTGTTGGATTTGATTTCTACTGTTACTCAGCGAGTTTGCTTCTGTTTCTTAGAGTCAAGCTTAAACCACATATAAAACAATCATGTAACACATCTCATTTGTGGATGAATGGCTGTTAGATTGAATAAAGTTTATTAAAAAGCAAAGAAAGTTACTGTACTTATGAGTACTGTTGTTTCCCTTCATACACAGTGCAATAATGGCAGCCTTGCATGCAGTTCTTGAAGCACCCACAAAATGCCGCCATTTATTGGTGGATCGCTATTACAAGAATGATGTCCAATTTTTAATAAATGCTTAAATATTAAATGACACAAATGTTATATCATGCATTTACTGTGAATGGTTTAGGGTTTTTGTCTGCCAGCAAAGAAAGGAGCTAACCTAATGAATCAATTAGAGAAATGTGAAGCAAGTCGTTCTGATCCTGGTGATCAGGTGGGTCTTCATGTGCGCTTGCAGAAGCTGCAGGAACAGGACGAGCATGCAAAGCTGCTGAAGGATCGTCTGCGCTGGGAGCAGAGAGAACTGCGCACACGGCTGGAGAAACTGCAGGGCGGTTCAGAGAGGATGCGTAACGACAGCCTTGGCTCTGCTGTGTCCTCCGAGAGATCCGACTCTGAGAGAGGTGATCATCAGACGGCCAAGATGATCAGATTCTTAACTAGCGTTAGATTTTCTGTGAGCTCAATATGAGCTTTCAGAGTTAAAAAAGAATATATATATATTTATATTGTTATTATGATCAGTAACTAACTTAGCTAAAATGTGCATCCTGAGATGCTTGTAAAACTTATATCAACTCATCTACTCCAACTTGCCTATTTCTTTGATTTAATTGAATATTGAATTTACTTTAGAAATCCAAATGATAAATATTCAAAGACACCTGTTTTATGTCTTGAGATTTAGTTTTTGTTCTTAAGCCTATTGGGTGGTAGAGTAAATAGTCACATGAGTTGTTGATCATATTTGCTTAAATTGCAGAGGACGTTGAGATTGACGTGGAGAGCATGGTGTGGACTCTGGAATCAGATGGACTGGGCTCATCACATGCTGGGGTGGACCATAGCTACTCTACCTCTGATCACAACTGGTTATGACCCTCCCAGATCTACAAATGACACGGAACGGGATTAAATGGATGAGGGACTGAGGGAAAATGTTTGATGGGCTTTACCATCGTCACCACAGAACAGCCTTATGTTGCTGCCATGCTGAAAACATCAGCCGGAAACAACGTCTAAGCATGACTGGAATTTATTTTGTGTAGTGTATTCTTTACACTAATGGCATTATGGTGCTCTAGTATGCTATACACTCGTGAGATTCAAGTGTGACAAGTTTGGTGATGCTTTATTTCCACAGAATGATTTTTTTAATTTTTTTGTCTGGATTAGTTATGATCACATTGTACCCGCTAGTTGTCTTCTATCCAGCTAATGAGCTTAACTTTAGGGTCAGCCTGCAGTACACATTGGCTTGCACTTAAATGTTAATATCCAGCTTATTTTGTTTAAGTTGAGTTTTGATACATTGCACAAAGCATACGCATGAGCACTTGTGATGTCTCCTTAGATGTGTGGTGTTCCTTTCAGGTTTGCTAATGTGTGAAATTGCAGATCATGTCAATGCATCTTTCACTTTAAACTTTTTTTTTCTAATTGGAAAAAAAAAACTGGGGAGGCAAATTCAAAGGTTGTGATGCAATTCATAGGGAAAGACTTCTTTCCTTTACAGCCATGCATTTATTATTTGCTATTGGGTAAAGGTACAGTTGGGTTTGAAATGATGATTGTTGAACTGCTATCTGTATCATCTTGATGTTTAATTTTTACGTACTTTTTACTGTTTTATTTTGGTCCTGTGCTTTGGTTCACTTTAGAGAATCAAAGTTGGTGCTATTCAAACACCCAACAACAAGCTACGTTGAGCCCTAAGAAGCCTGAAAAACAGGAAATAGTTGTTTTTCTTTGTACAGTGGATTTTCAGCAGTTTAATCCATTTTCCCCTAAGAAGTGTTAGTCTGCTCGTGTGAAAATTCTTTATTTTTTTATGCATACCTATAAACTGCAATTCAGTATGTTGGTAGTATTGACAAAATACATGGGCTGTATTTGCAAACTGTTCAGTTATCTGCTCATATCAATCATTTATGCAAACTATTATGAACATGCCTTTGTTTTCAGATGTTTGTACAGTAATTGTGTTAATGTACACAGCAACACGTACATTGTATCTACAGTTCTGAACACCAAATGCCTTAGGAACTATTCGTATGTGATTGGACCAGGAACACCTTTGTATTTATGTCTCTCCTTGTACTCCTATGTAGCATTTTATTCTTTTTTTACCAACATAAGCCTTTTGTACAAATAAATATTTTATGTATTTAATTTGACTTGTCACTATGATTTTGTATGCTGTACGTTATTCATTTGAAACTGGGAACCTGGCTGTATTACATTAGTCTACTGTTTCACCTACATATCAGACCCAACCTGATATGTCAAAAAGTCTTGGAAAAAAACAACCTAGTATTCAGTCATATCAAACCAAAGCTCTTCCTGATTCTGAGCATGCTGGTCTATTTTAATGCTATGGTTTCATTTCTGAAGAAAATATAAGTGGTGTGGTAAAAGCTTTACAAGATTTACTTTATCTGCTTAAATTATGCCATTAAATGAAATGAAAGGACCATGTCAGATAGAAAATATTTATTGGTAATAGCTATTGATCACAAACAATTAAGAGCTATAAGACATTATGCAAGCTATCATACCCTTTCATTAAACAAATGCGTTTCTTCTTTCAGACACTCAACATCCAACATGTTTTGACAACTTTCACACTTGTAATCAGACATTGCCGTCCATCCAGTGCAATACTTTCTGGCATATGCTCTCATGTGCCAAAGATCAGACTCTAGATATCACGCCGGCAATGACTGCTGGAACTGTGGACCCATCAATGCAGATAGAACTTCAATTTGAAGCAATGAATCACATTTGCTAAACAAGGCAGATTACAGACCTCAGTGTGAAGTGTGAATATGAAGATTCAGAGAGGCCATGTTTGAAATACATCAACAAAATCAGATAAATTAAGAAATTAATTTAGATATAAAAAAAAGCAAACATCTCAGGAGCAGGTGGAGGATGGTGCTGTATCAAATCAAGTTTACTGGAGAATTTCAGTCGAAGAGAACATGGGCTTCACTAAATGCATTCTGAGAATCTAGACAGGCACGATTTGATCATCTCAGCTCCTGGCTAAATGCATCTCACATCCACGTCTGTGCCCAGTGTGATGGGGCCCTTTTCAGAAATGCTGGGAGAGACTGCGCCTCCTCCAGGCGTGTGCGCTCATCATACATACTGCTTCTTTTGAGCTTGAGAGGCTAAATCTTTCGCCTTCTCTTTGGCAGCGAGTGCGGTTTCTCTTGCCTTCACAGTTGCAGTTTCTGCCAGCGTTCGTGTAGGCAGTTCACCTGTGCGGTAATGAGATCTAGCTTAGCCAACCATGTTTACAATCAAAATGAATGACACCATTAAGCAGTTACTGCATGCTTGAACTCTAGCTGGCATCTTACCTTGCATCTTGGCCAGGACGTACTCAAAACCTTTCATGGTCTTTGTAACGTTGCTCTTAAACCGGGCAAGACCAAATTCCTGAAAATGGGATGGAAAGCAAACTGAACACTCCTTGCTGCCAAGTGTTGTGGAAGTTCCAGTGAGGTCATTTAACTGCAGACTAAACAACTGTTAGCTATAAACACCACGCGTGACGCATGTCTTCTGCATCAACCCGACGATCCAGGCTGTAGAATGTTACTCAAATGTATTTAAACAGATCACATACACTACTGTAATAAAACTTTCTTTGAGATCAATATAACCACATGTTGCTTAGACATCCTTTCACCCGCTGACCTGAATCGCTCTAGTGAGGCCGTACAGTTTGGAGGAAATCCAAGCCTCTCTCTTGATCTCGGTCCAACTGTTGTCATCGGGGTTCACTCTGTACACACAACGTTCTTCAATACTCTACACACAGAAAACACAGTTAACCTCATGTAGTTCATGTCTAGTCAGGCCAGTTGATAATTAATCATAGCCAGTCCAGGAATTCATACAAAATAACTATATTATGGAAGTAAAATAAAGTGTTTTTGAATGTTGAATTGCACTGATTGCAAAAAAAAAAAAAAAAAGGATTTCAGCCCCTAAAAATGCAAGCCCTGAAAATACAATGCATTCAAATGCAAGCACCGTTAATGCAATGCATTTTTGGCTTCAATTAGCCACATGCTTTTTTGTTTCAAATACAGTTCTCATTTTACTTCCATACTACAGGTACATCTCAAAAAATTAGAATATCATGAAAAAGGTCAATATTTTTTGTCACTCATTTCAGAAAGTGAAACCCATATATTATATAGATTTATTACACAGAGTGAAATATTTCAAGCTTTTATTTCTTGAAATTTTGATGATTATGGCTTACAGATAATGAAAACCCAAAATTCAGTGTCTCAGAAAATTAGAATATTACATAAGATTAATTAAAACAAAAGGATATTTTAAACAGAAATGTCAGGCTTCTGAAAAGTATGTTCATTTCTATGCACTCATTACTTGGTTGGGCCTCCTTTGGCATGAATTACTGCATCAATGTGGCATGGCATGGAGGCTATCAGCCTGTGGCACTGCTCGGGTGTAATGGAAGCCCAGGTTGCTTTGATAGCGGCCTTCAGGTCATCTGCATTGTTGGGTCTGGTGTCTCTCATCTTCCTCTTGAGAATACCCCATAGATCTGACTTTGTCTCTGGTTCAGGAGTGGCTTGACACGAGGAATGCGACATATGTAGCCCATGTCTAGGATTCGTCTGTGCGTAGTGGCTCTTGATGAGCTGATGCTAGCCTCAGTCCACTCCTTGTGAAGCTCCCCCAAATTCTATCTGGTGCACCTTTTCCTACCACACTTTTTCCTTCCACTCAACTTTCTATGAATATGCTTGGATACAGCACTCTGTGAACAACCAGCTTCTTTAGCAATGAACTTTTGTGTCAATGATTGTCTTCTGGACAACTGTCAGTTCAGCAGTCTTCCCCATGATTGTGTAGCCTACTGACCCAGACTGAGAGACCATTTAAAGGCTCAGGAAACCTTTGCAGGTGTTTTGAGGTAATTAGCTGATTAGGGTGCGACACCATGACTTTCCAATATTGAACTTTTTCACAATATTCAAATTTTCTGAGACACTGAATTTTGGGTTTTCATTATCTGTAAGCTATAATCATCAAAATTTCAAGAAATAAAGGCTTGAAATATTTCACTCGGTGTAATAAATCTATATATGGGTTTCACTTTCTGAAATGAGTGACAAAAAAATATTGACCTTTCTCATTTTTTTTTAGATGTACCTGTATATTCACTGGGTACCATCAGGTGAAATATTATTCATCTTTTGTCTGCAATTTTCAGCATGCTGTGCTTTAGTTAAGAGGAAGAGAAGCGTCTTTAAATTCATCCCATTTAAAGCACCTCTTTGGCCACTGTGTCACCTCTTCTAATTTTGAGCATATCACCAAAAGCTATTTGCATCTTTAAATTATTCATTAATTTTTGAATTATCCATTAATTATTTTCTTTAATCCACAACATTCGGAGGACAAATTAAAGGGGTCATATGATGCGATTTCAATGTTTCCTTTCTCTTTGGGGTGTTACAAGCTCTTGGTGCATAAAGAAGATCTGTAAAGTTGCAGACTAAAGTCTCAAATCCAAAGAGATATTCTTTATAAAAGTTAAGAGTCAGCCACACCTACCTAAAACGGCTCGTTCTAACACGCCCCCACGTCTACATCACTATGTGGGAAGATTTGCATAACGCCGCCCAAATGTTCACGCAAAGAAAGAAGGCGTAACTTTTATTCTTGCTGTAGTATTGTTGTTGCCGCCGCCATGTTGTGAAGGCGCTGTGTGTTTCGTTGTGAACGCGAAACTACTTTGTTTGGTCTTCCAAAAGAGGACGATATCTGCTTCGTCATGCCTGAAGCTGATCTGTGCTGGTCCTGAGGAATTACATCAACTTTGTGCCGTGGATCGCCGGATCGGCTTTCACCGTGGATGAAGCGGAGTCTAGCCCGGAGTCGTCACATGTGGTTGCTGCAGGCATCACAATATGGTGAGGGGCGTAACATTTCCGTCACACGCTTGAGGTATTCAGCCAATCACAACGCACTGGATAGCTGGCCAATCAGAGCACACCTCGCTTTTCAGACCGATGAGCTTTGTAAAAATCTACGCGTTTCAGAAAGGCGGGGCATAGAGGAGAAACAATAATGTACAGTATGGGGAAAATAGTTTTTTTTTTTTACCTTAAACCACTTAAACACATTTCATTACACCAAATACACAAAATAATGTTCTTTTTAGCAACATCATATGACCCCTTTAAGTGCTTATTGTCATAAAAATACTGTCAGAATGCACAACAAACGAATGGTCCTAAAAATAGGCTTAATTTGTTTTTGTGACAAATATAAATCCTTATTTTGGATTTATACTTGTTCCTATTGATTTTGGGTTGTAATAACACTCGGGCATGGCGGCCCACCATCACACGAGTGTGGCTGATGTTCCAGGTGAGAGTGGTCATGGTCCTGCCCCGAGGATCCACTACAGAGTCCTCAATGATGTAAGCCTTCTGTGCCATGTGAGCAGGCAGAAACCTCTCCGCCCAGCGAGGAGCTCTGCTTGTTTTGGTCAGGAGACGTCTGGAGATCAGACAGTTGTCCGGAGTGACTTCCCGAAATATGATGTCTTCAGTTAAAACATGATTACTGAGGAATAATAATACAGAAATGATAAGGAATCAAATATACAGTGGCTACAAAACTAAAAATATAAGACAACAATAGGAAATCTTGCACAAAAAAAAAATGCAGGAGTTGTATGAGGGTATCTTTAAAAGAAGACAGATGTGTATATTTGTAGTACCTGTAGGGGTTGGGGTATCTCTGCCAGAATGCCAAAAACACTTGGTCCCATGAGCTCTTCAGAAAGCCTGCACAGCTGAAATACTTCACCATTGTTCCCTCACAACCTGCTTGTGCTAAAAACTGCAACAAAGCACAAACACAGCAACTAGTTGATAACTGAAGAATACTAGCTAAACTAAAGAATACATGTAAGACAGAAACGAGGAAAGCTTAATTATGATATGCTGAATAAGAGTTGTTTTAAATGAGTATGTGCAACTGTTCTAGTGGCGCCCAAAATGTCTTGCAGGTTATCTTATACTAATGATAGTCAAAAATGCAGTCTATGCAGACAACTCGTTTGACGTTCAGACTAGAATGTTAACAAAAGCTGTTCAGAAAGCAGCGGAGTAGGTTTCGTGAAGATCCAGATAAGCACTCTGTTATACCATAACGCCGGAGACATAAGACAACAAGACAACAAGCTCACTGTGTGATGAGACTACGATGCGCAGAATGGCAAGTTAATCAAGTGACTGGATTGTGATGCTATGATGGACAAAAACGCTGTTTAGGTACACAGACCACTGGGTTTTGACAAGATATGGTGCCTACAAATCCTAGACGGCCATAGAATTACAAGTTGTACGGCTACCTAAAAGATCATTAGATAATTGTATTATTAATAGGAGAAGTAGTAGTGGTCACAAGTATTACAGAAATGTAACCCTGCGCCTTCACTTCGGCTAAACGTGCACCGCTGGAGTGGATGAGATGAATGTCATGCAGAAGCGCTGCTAGCTCGCGGCTAACGCATGTTTAACTCGCTCTCTCTCTCTCTGAATGAATGAGCTGGTTCTACATGAACATGAATGCGGAGCGAAGGAGGACTTACCAACGTAAACAGAAGACGGGGCGCGTAACGAAGTGATTTTTCTCTAGTTCTGCATTTCGTGATCATCCCCCGTGCGCCTCGTCCGTCCACATGACTGCACGTAACTAGAGAGAGGAAGGTCATGGTCACTTACGACACTTCCGGAAGACCACGCGCTTAGAAGGGGAGGCTTTGTCATAACGTGCAGTGGCGGTTCTATATGGGGGTAGAATTGTAGCTTTATTCTAAATAAATAGATTATGATCCACAAATAAATGTAAAGAGATTAACAAAATTAAACATATTGACGAATAAATAGAATTAGATCCACAAATAAATAAAATGAGATTTGCAAATAAAAAACATATTCACAAATATCTTTTTAAGTCACAAACACAACTTTACACAACATTAATTTGTGAATCGCGTCCCGTGCATTTGTAGATCGCTGCACCCATTTGTGGATCGCTCGCTGTGCATTTGTGGATTTTGAAACATTTCTAGCATCCAGACACACACCAATCCACAAATGCGTGGACTCCACCCACCGTTTACTCAAGCCAATCAGATAACAGCCTCACTTCGCTGACCAATCGTTGCACGTTCTCGCTATAGCCAATCACGTTTTTGTGAATTTATTTCATGTTTGTGAAACGCTAAGATTTACTTGTGGATCTCATTCTATTTATTCGTCAATATGTTTAATTTTTGTTAGTCTCTTTACATTTATTTGTGGATCATAATCTATTTATTTGGAATAAAGCAACAATTCTACCCCCATAGTTCTACATTGAATTACAACCTGGGCGAGACCCCCTTCGAGCGCCCCCCCTCCCAAAAAAAACACACACAATTTTGCACAAACAGTTATATTTTATTATAACAACATAAGTGAAAGAGAAAATTATATTTCTCAATTGCACAAATCCTTCATTAGAACATTTGAAAAACACACTTAAGAGAATCCAGTTATTTAACTATTGCAATCACAACAGGAAACACACTTTTTAAGGTGCGCAATCTCCACCTCCAACATTGCCAAAAGACAATGAACACAATTCTGCACAAAATATGACAGTATAAGTTATCAGAACTTAAAGGGGTCATATGATGCTGCTAAAAAGAACATTATTTTGTGTATTTGGTGTAATGAAATGTGTTTTATGCGGTTTAAAGTAAAAAAACACATTATTTTCCACATACTGTACATTATTGTTTCTCCTCTATGCCCCGCCTTTCTGAAACACGTCGATTTTTACAAAGCTCATCAGT